TGACTGTGAATATGACTGTGAATATGACTGTGAATATGACTGTGAATATGACTGTGAATATGACTGTGAATATGACTGTAAATGTGATTGTAAATGTGCAATGGCTTCATAACGGATGCTTTATTTTTCAACGCTCTATCTTGTCCAACAAATAATGACGGCGCTGTCTACTCCTCATCGTCTGAAGGCTCCGCCGGCCAGAAAAACCAAGTAACAACCATGATGGCCTTGAGAACGGCGGCAGTCCACAATGCGCCAGCAATGCCAAGGGAGCTGTGCGAGAAGATTCCGCCCAGAACAGCGCCGACGAGCAGAAGCGTAGGCGCAGCCGCACGGCGGTTCCTCTCGGCGTTCTGGAAGGCAAAGAGATCCTGGTCCGAGAAGAGATCGCAGTAGATGCTGGTCAGGACGACACTGGTCAAGGCGTTGTACTTGAGAGCCCGGCTCGTCACGGCCTGACCACAGCTCTGGAAGGCGACGAGCGCAAGAGGCGCCAGGACTGTCCAGCCGACATGGTCCTTGTCCTCAGAGGGAGTCGTAAGGGTGACGATGAGGGCGGCGGCAACGATGAAGAGCGTCTGGGCGGCAAAGGACACGCAGAGCACCCATCTCCTCTTGGGTGAAAAGTAACGATGGAAGCGGGCGAAGAGGAACGATCCAATGCAAAAGCAGAAGAGTGAGATGCCGGACTTGTAGAGACGGGCATTCGTAGGCGGGTAGATGAGCGAGGCCAGGCCCAGTCCGACATAGACGGTGTTTCCTATGCGTTTGACATGAGATGGTTAGCATTTTCAGGGTTTCAGTCTTTTGAGTTCCAGTCTTTGAGCCTTCATCATCTCATCCATCTGCAGAGCGAGGCACGCGATGAGATGCCTCATTCATCCAAGTCCAACAAGAGGCTTGACCAACCTGTTTGCATCGACACAAACGCGCCCCAGACCTGCGTCGACGCGCTGTCCAGCAGCCCCGTGACGACGTAGCACAGAAGAAGCACCACATCCGCCCACGATCGCGACACCTCGGCCGTCATTTGCTTGCGAAAGCGGGAGACGACGGACCGCGGCTTGGAGTGGCCGTTGCGCAGGAGCGGCTGTTCCTCATCGCCAGAGGCGCCGTTGGGCGCGGCTGCAGAGCCGTTGGTGGTGCCGTAGGTGGTCATTGCAGGGAGAGGCAATGCAGTGTGAATGTCAAAGTGTTGACGAAAAGGAATGAATGAATGAATGTGTTCTCTGAAGCCTTCGCCAGTTCGAGTCGAGGGGCCGCCACGCCTATCAATGATATTCGGCAGGGGCAATAATTAGATATCAATCGTCGGGCTATCGTGTTGCCGCAAACACTTTGACTCAGATTAGCACATGCACATGCACAACTCAGTTACCAGCAATTGCGCAATGAGCTAAAAGGAGCTAAAACCGAAGCTTGGCCTGCCGCAAAACGGAACCCCCTGCGAGTCTCAGCTAGTCTCCAATAATTCTCCTGCTGCAGACCCCCGGAGTCTTATTTTTCTGCCGCCGAATGCCCAGGAACAGCAACTTTTTCATCGCGCAAATCCGAGCTTCCCATTGGCGGATGTCAGATCTGATGCCGACTGTCGCCTCAATCGCAGCTGCAATTAGACTGCTAAGGGCGGACTTGGTTCGGAATCGGTCAAGGCTGTCGGCCCCCTGCGGCTCCTGGCGGTATCGGGGGGCAGTCGAGGTACTTTCGGTTATGGTGGCAGCAGGCGGCAGATCCAGGTACCGGGCTATCAAGGAGTACCGTCAAGTCCCGCTCCGCACAATCATCACCAGTGGGTTGTGGTGAGGCGATACCGCGACCTGGAGAATCCAGTACGAGTACAAAGCTTATACCAAGGTTTTGCGACGGCGGCCCCCCATGCAACGCGAGGATAAGGAGGGCCAGCCTTGTACACCGAATGTACAGACGTGACGTGCCGCAGACGCAGCGGAGGCATGAATTGTCGTACGAGAGAAGCTTGTGGCCTGCTTTATAAATCATCCTGCCCGCCCGACAAGCTTCACATTCACATTCACCTTGCAACCGCATTGAAGCTGCTGCACCGACTGAAGCTCCCTGTAACCTAACTTCTGCCAGCAAAAATGAAGCTCTCCGCAGCCCAATTGCTCCTTGCCGGAGCCAGCTTCACAGCTGCTCTGCCTCATCTCGACAGCCCGCGCCAGCGTCTGCTCAATGGCATGGATCTGCCCTCCAAGTACGGTGAAAACAGCAAGCCCTACACTCCCGGCCACCGCGATGCCGAGGACAACTACGTCGATGCCGTTGGCAAGAAGCTGGACCCCAAGCCCTGGCGAAACGGATTCGGAGCTTCGGTTCTGGGACCTTACAACCGCGACCGATCGCGTCAGAGCCCCGACATGATCCGCCCGCCTAGCACTGATCACGGCAACATTGCCAACATGCGATGGAGTTTTACTGATTCTCACGTGCGAATTGAGGTAAGAAAGAATGAGAGAAACCCGCTGTGAATCGCCTGAAACCCGGGCGGCCGCTGATTGAACCCCTGCTGACACCGGAACTGTAGGAAGGAGGCTGGACCCGACAGACGACCATCCGTGAGCTCCCCACCAGTGTTGAGCTCGCCGGAGTCAACATGAGACTCGACAAGGGCGTCATCCGTGAGCTTCACTGGCACAAGGAGGCCGAATGGGCCTACGTGCTGGACGGTGAGGTGCGCGTCACTGCTCTCGACTACGAGGGCGGCAACTTCATCGACGACCTGAAGAAGGGTGACCTGTGGTACTTCCCCAGCGGTGTGCCTCACTCTCTGCAGGGTCTCGGTGAGAACGGAACCGAGTTCCTCATCATTTTCGATGACGGCAACTTTTCCGAGGAGTCGACCTTTATCCTGTCTGACTGGCTTGGTATGTCCTCTCATTCTTGCTACTAGCTACGGCTACTACTCCTGTCTTTTGCATGTATGGTGTATATACTAACGACGGGTTTCACACAGCTCACACCCCCAAGTCCGTCATCGCCGAAAACTTCCACCTCGCTCCTGAGCTCTTCGACCACCTCCCCGCCGGCGAGAAGTACATCTTCCAGGGCTCTGTGCCCGGCTCCATCGAGGACGAGGCGCCCAAGGGCAAGAACGTCAAGAAGTCCAACTACCAGTTCACCCACAAGATGCTGGACCAGGAGCCCAAGAAGACGTCCGGTGGCCAGGTGCGCATCACTGACTCCAAGAACTTCCCCATCTCCAAGACCGTGGCCGCTGCCCACGCCGTCATCGAGCCCGGCGCGATCCGCGAGATGCACTGGCACCCCAACGCCGACGAGTGGTCCTTCTTCATCAGCGGCCGCGCCCGTGTTACCATCTTCGCCTCCGAGGGTACCGCCCGTACCTTTGACTACGTCGCCGGTGACGTCGGCATCGTCCCCCGCAACATGGGCCACTTTGTCCAGAACATTGGCGACGAGCCCGTGGAGATGCTCGAGATCTTCCGCGCCGACGAGTTCCGTGACTTCTCCCTCTTCCAGTGGATGGGTGAGACTCCTCAGCGACTTGTCCTGGACCACCTCTTTGCCGACGACAAGGAGGCCGGTGAGAAGTTCTGGGAGCAGGTCAAGGACGCCAAGAAGGACGAGATTACGAAATAAGCTTGACGATGCAACAAAAAGAAAATGAAGGAGGAGGGATAACGTAATGAGGACACTATTAACTTACTGTACATGTATTCACTGTGGGACGACGATTCAAGGGTCATGTCATCTGGGGAGGGCGTTTCTTTTTTCATCTCTAATTCACTTACCGCCTCTAGATGTGAGGCCACTGTAGTTTTTTTTGGATTATCAAATCGCGAAATTTACAAAGTTTTAAGCATAAAAATAATCTTGTTCATTTTTTCCGTGTCTTTCCCCTCATCTTTCATTCCTATTGAGCGAAAAGGAGCTCTCGAAGCTACCAACGCAGGCTGTCCCTTCGTGTGAAGCTACGATGGGGGGTTACATCAAAGCCCTGATATTTTCGTACGTAACAAAAGGACCTAGACCAGAGCTTCGCAAAAAACTGCCTGTCACATTTACCTAGGTACGAAAAATAAAAACAAGCATGAAAGCGGGAGTATTTGATGCCACACCGTATTGCCCCGATACTGTGTTCTAGACGCAGGCAAAGCAACCCTTTCTGGGATAAACCCGCGGATGTCCGTAACGAAATAGTAATCTTGCTTACGTCCTACTTACAAAAGGTTGCGAAAAAAACGTAATAGTCTAGATGGGGGTCACTTCGGAAACTTTTCCGAGGCCTGGGCGCGAGAAGGGGGACGTTCAAGCCTGTCAATTTTCTTTACAGGCTCTTTTTTTCTTCTTCGCTCACTGTCTGGTTGTGGCTGTCGATTCGAGTCGATGGATTGCTATTACGTGGGTGCTCACGCACTGTCCTCTATCTTTCATCATATATGGTATAATCGGTCATATGACCTGTCCGAAAGGTACGCGGTCCTTTGGGTGTAGGCTCATAGCCAATAAGGCTCATGCTGTTTATCAGAGCTCAAACTTCAGTGTAGCACACGTCAATCTAGATAGGTCTTTAATTGAATTCTATTTTCTTTACATGAAAGTGTGGGCAGGCCCAGTTTGTAGGCAAAACGCCCCTCGTCCTGTGATTCCACACGTGGTTCCTTTGCAGAAATCATTTCACGATAGGCTCTGAAATAGGGTTGTTAGGTAGTAGGTACATGTAGTATTCCTAAAAAAGGGGGTGGGCTGTATGTACTATTAGCGGCAAGGCAGCTTGGACGTAGAATTTAGCCCAGATATCAACGGTCGTAAACAAAACAACCTTACATACAGCCTGGTGGCGTAGAATAGCCGGAAAAGAACTGCATATTCAAAAATTCCCTGTACAACTCATGAGCCTATTTTTTGCCCTTACTCCGTATAGATTGTCGCTTTGTTTCACTTCGGGGAGAGGCGGCCCTCTCACTTGCGCCAGCCCATCCCACATGCAGCTCGGCCGCTATATTAACGTCCCGGAATCTGATATCGAAGGCACCTAAAAACAAAAGAACCACATCTATCATCTACTATCTAAAGGGCGGCGTGCTTGCATCTACGAAAATCATGCTTCATAGATAGAGTTATGTGTTGTCCAATGCAAAAATTCCCGAGCCCACGGCCGCTATTTCGCTCGAGATAAGGCACGTTGGGCGAGCGGGCGTCGACCCGTTTGGGCAGTTGCTAAGTGACTTGAACATGTATCAGATCAATGCGATTATGTTATCTGCACACCACCTACCTCTTGCTGTACATAGCAGCAGCTACTACTAGTAGTATTTTCCGAGGTATACATGGGGGGGAGGGGGCTCGTCCTTGTAGTGGCAATTTTATTAATAGGTGTCTGGTTGTAAGCCGGGCAAGGGGGGGTAGACGCGGCGTAAAGGAAGGCATCACGACCAGGTACATAGCAACTTGACGTTGTTGGATCGTCTTTTCGTATATCAATGAGTGCCCAATGGGTCCGAGGCCGGCAGTTTGAGGGAAAATCGCGCGATAGACCCATAATAGCACCAAGAGAGCTCGAGTCAGTCCCTTTTGATGTGACCTTGACGACCAGAACAGGGCAAGCCGGAGCAAAGCAAACGGTGTTGGTTTGATTAATGTGCAGCTCAAAAGCATCCACGGCTGTCTGCATGTCGATCACTGGACTAAAGACGGGCATAACGGCAAATTCAAACCCTACTAGATTAGTTAAAACGTCAAGAAATCTCGGTGTAAACCTGTGGGATGCTGCAAGATGGGGGGAACTTTTGGATATGCCAGGCGCTCGGAACAAAGATTTACGTGCCGAGTAGCTGCTCGATTGCCTCGGGTGTTTGATTGTAATAGGAAATAAAAGATTCCAAGTGCACTAGGAGTGTGTTGAGACGAGAGGGTGGGAGGGTAAGGTAGGAAGAGGCAAATGCGATATGAAAACACGAATGAAAGAAGAATGCTTCGATGGAACATGGCGACATGTATTCTCGACGTCGCGGGCAATGCAACATCTATGCGAAGCTGCAGCCGGAGGAAAATCGGCTTCAAACAGTTACCGACATGGCTGAAGCAGGAGGTCCCTCAACGCTTTACGAGTACATGGTGTAATGGTTGTTCATCCCACTGGATAAACCGGCGAAATTGGTGATCCTCCTCAAATGGTTGGGGGTAGGGAAGCTCTGAGGGCTGCAAAAGAACAGAGACAGGACAGGGGTAAGATGCAGTGATAGGCCTCCGAGTCGTGAATCTTCGAGACGGCACACGCCTCCCTATCCTCTTATCTGAGCGGCATCAAGAGCCGGAAGGCGAAACTCTCACACGAGGTTGAACAGTGTCGTAGACAATCCTTGCCGCCTGTAAATGAACATGGACGAGTACATGTATACGGTGACACGAGGAATACTACCCCGTTCTCAATGTTTTGCAGGCGTAATCTGTCAACCTGTCAATCTGTACCCCGTACACGTATGTAGGTAGGCTGGGCATCTGAAGGGCACGTAGATTCGAAAGCTTGGCGATGGGGTTTTGTATGTAAGCTCAAGGTTACAAATCGGTTTCCTAGCCAGTAGACTCAGCACGGAATTTTCCGGCGCATACGAGAACATGCCTATTGCAGGTGAGGCGTGTGTCTTGTATTGTGCTGTAAAAGAGCCTGGCCACCGGATCTGGAGCATAATACGCGGTACTGTATCTGGACGACGACAGCCGGCGAGACAAGGGGAGGGAAAGGCCCTGCCTGGTCTCCATAATTTGCCTTCCATGTCTCTCGAGTGCTGGCCTCTCCAGAGTACCACCAGAGACAAGGGAGCAAGGGAGCAGCCGGTCGAGGTGAAGCTGACCCACGTCGCTCGCTGCTCGGGCTTCTCACGCGCCGTGCCGGTGGTGCATACGCACACCTGTCTTCTTTTTTCGTTCTGACAGTTGGTGAGCAAGTGAGGTAGCAGTAGTGATAAGTGAGACACGGGCTCCAGTGGCAGTTCGGGCATGATGGGGCAGATAGGTGACAGCTGCCAAGGCATGTGTAGTGTCGTGTAGTGTGTCGTGTAGTGTGTCGTGTATGTAGTGTAGGATGAAAGAAACGGTAGACTTGAAAGGCTAGGTTAGAATGATGGAATATGGAACACCTGGTAATTGGTAGGCAATGTACCTCGAATGACCGTTTTTGATGCTCTGTCGCGAGTACATGTACATGCTCCAACGCGCTAAACAGGCGCTACTCCCTAGTATCTCTTCCTCCCAAGGCCCAGATAGTGGATGTCTTCACTGGTCTTTCCGCCTTCTAGCTCCATCGCTGCCTTTCCGCGACAATCTCTCCACTCCGTCTCCATTTCCCTAATGTACCCCGCAAAGAGGCGCCGAGCTATCAAAGTGGCCTCTGACTCTGTGGTCAGACAGACAACAAGATCAAGACGAAAACCAAAGATTCGAAACAAGATACATATGGGAGTGTCTTTCACAGCCTGGTTGTTCTCGCCTCTCATGTCAGCGGCCCGAGGCTTGCAAAAACCGGGTACATGTACGTTACGCAGTCGAATCGCTGACCGGCATGTCGACCAGGGCTCGCCGTTTAACTGATGCAACTCTAACCAGGAATCGCTGCCCGAGTTATCCGTCGCTTGTTTCTAAAACGGGACCATCCCATGCAGCCTCAGCGTTGCATTTGCCCGCTGAAAACAGACCCAGTGTTCCCAAGGTGGACAATTTGCCCAGGAGGGGTTTCTGCAGGGTCGCCCAGCCCAATCAGAGCACATGGGCGTGCTATACAGATAGGGCAAGTCGACACTAAAACAGGGCTGGAACAAGTAGCTAAATCGTCGAGGAGAAGGGTTTTGAGAGTTGGAGATGCAGACGAGCTGGAGCATCACGGCCCGGGATCAAGAAGTGACCTCCGCACTAGCCGCCTAGACTAAAACCATCTGCCGGAGAGTCTGTGCCAACCACTCATGGAATCCCATCGCCATCAGATGCTGCTTCGTCGTCTTCATTTGAGGTCCGGAGAGGCGCTCTTGAGATTCCCCTTGCCAGGAACAGGGGACGGTCGCCGGAGGCCACTCCCCCAATGCCCAGCTCCAACTTTGTCTGTTTTGCTCCAAAGTTCTTGCTATTGTCGCCATCGGGGTACCTTGGCCGTCGTGAGAGGAGATGTACTCGTTTGTAGCTTGGAGAGGCAGATCGCCATGCTGCATGCTCTGTTTCGCCATACTCGTACATGACAGGCGGCAGTCAAGCGCTTCCCTTTTTCTGGGTACATGCTGTGTCACAGTCTTGGCTCGCATTCACTGCAACGCGATACCACCAACTTCGGAAAACCGGCACGGCTGGAAGCGAATTTGATAATCTGCTATTCCCAGGTTACGCCCCTGGAGTTTAGAGGGAGACCCTGAAGCCTTGCCCGTGATACCTGCATGGACATAGGCGCAGCACAGGTACGAAGTAACTGGATTACCTGTACGATTATTGCATCTGTCCCAGCACACCCCGGTTGCCGGTATGTTTGATGCCATCTCTTTCGACAAAGCATGGCATGGGTTCTCCCGACCCCGCCTGCTTCGTGCAATGTGGAGACCAACGACAGATCAGTCTTGGACGCCGTCTTCATCGCCAGTGGAGGCGTTTCCTCCAGG